TAACTGAAAGTGTCTTTAGGCCATTCCCAAATGGGGTTTTATTAACGTGTTCTTATGCACAGTAGAATTGTAAATGGGCTGATTTATCAATGTTATGGCCAAACTGTGCTGGAACAACATAGGGAAAACTGCTGCATTTTTTCCTTCCTCATCCTTACGATCGTCATTTTCCCTCTACTTCTTTTGTATGTTGTCACTCTCTTGTGAAGTGCTATTTCTCGGGTGACTTGATAGTCAAAGAAGACGTTGTGCTATTTAGGCTAGAGAGGTGAGCAGAGTAAACCTGATTCCCCGTTTGGACTTCTCTGTTGACGTCCACCCCTTGGCGCTCATATGACATTATGCAGTTGCGAGCGCCGTAACACCTTACTAAAACAAACGAATAACAAACACAGACTGATATTGTATGGTGGTATCGGCAGTCCAGTGGTTAGGCTGGCTGACTCGTAATCATTAGAATTAGAATGCACGTTCCGGGACTCAAGGCTCAGCTCGGTCGGAGGCGCAGTGACCTTAAGGGAAGACCCGGATCGGTAATCTCAGACAAAATCGATAAAATTGTTCAAACTATCCAACTTTTGTTTTTTGCGGGAAAACATCAATTGACATCTGTTCTATCGAGTCACAATGCTGAAACTGTTGAGAATACACCCTAAATGACCTAAAAGGGCGTTTGAAAAGTGCAAATTGCACTAAAATTCTTTTTTTTAATCCCTATTTTTCTTGTTTTTCTCAAAATCGACTTTTTTACATAGGTGACCTTCAAATTTGGTGTACATGTGCTTTAAGATCTATTCTGGGGATCCATGTGAGGGAATTGGGAAATATTTGTAACTTGTGGAAACATTCAAATTTTTTGTAATATGTACCCCGAAATTTCGTCAAATGACTCTCAGGGGTCCATTGACTTTTTTTTAAGATAGGTCAAAATCTTCACATAGATCCCCAGTCCATATAGGTTGGTACCTGTGAGCCAAATTCCAGGCTGATGTTTCAATATTTACTCTGAAATTCTTCTGCACTAAGAAACTGGTTTGAAAATCCAAGATGGCCGTCACAGAGACTCATTTTTTCAGAAAAAAAATCAACAAATTCACCCTTAGTACATCCTATACACCTATGAAGTTCTTGCACAATTACATGAAAGTGAATAAAAGTTATTCATTTTGAAAATTTTTCCGAGAGTGTACGTCTCCCCTTAAAGAAAGTTAAAAGAGGACAGACGTGCTTTAGTTTAGTTTAACTTAGGTTTTTCGGTGCTTGCAACTACATAACGTCATATGAGAGTCAAGGGGTGGAATATCTACAGAGAAGTCCAAATGGGGAATCAGGCTTACTCTGCTCACCTCTCTGGCCTCAACAGCACAAAGTCTGCTTCAACTATCAAGGCACCCCGGAAATAGCAGTTTACAAGAGAGTGAGAAGCCTACAAAAGAATTAGAGGATAAAAGACGATAGTAAGGATGAGGAAAGAAAAAGCAGCAGTTCCCATTATGCTGTTCTGGAACGGTGTGGGATTTGTTTGTTTGTTTTGTTTAAGGAAAAATGAGCACATCGACACAATAAAGGTCATTTAGTGTTGGGAAAAGACCAGACAGACAGACAGATAGACAGACAGATAGACAGACAGACAGACAGACAGACAGACAGACAGACAGACAGAC